AAATCTCAGGAAGTCCAACATTTTACTGACCACATCAACTCTGTGGATAAATACATCAAGTTCACACGAGAAGATGTAAAAAATGGCAAGTTGGCTTTCTTGGACTGTGAGGTCTCAGTCTCTGATAGAGGACATTTGCAAACCGAGGTGTACCACAAACCCACACACACAGACCAGTATTTGCAGTTTGACTCCCATCACCCTTTGGAGCACAAGTTAGGAGTCATCAGGACTCTGTATCACAGAGCAGACAGCATCCCCACTAACTCGGGAGCCAGGCAGAAGGAGAAATCCTACACAAAACAGGCTCTAGAGCAATGTGGATATCCTAACTGGGCCTTCCTGAAAGCAGAGAAGAAACCCAAACAGGACTCCAGTCAGCCATCAGGTGAAAAGGAGGAACCCAGACCCAGACCAGTGGTCATTCCGTATGTTGAGGGAGTATCAGAGAAACTGAGACGTTTATTTTCTAAACATAACGTCCCAGTGGCTTTTAAACCCCAAAATACATTACGGCAAAGACTGGTTCATCACAAAGATCCAGTCCCCCGGCACAAACAGAGTAATATTGTGTATGCTGTTCAGTGTCAGGAGGGCTGTGATCAGTCTTACATCTGGGAAACTAAACAGCCACTGGCCAAAAGGATGGCCCAGCACAGAAGATCAACATCATCAGGCCAGGACTCTGCGGTCTACACTCATCTACAGGCCAGCGGTCACTCTTTCAAGGATGAAGATGTTCACATCCTGGATAGAGAGGAACGACGGTTTGAGAGAGGAGTAAAGGAGGCCATCTTTGTGAAAAGAAATCGTCCATCATTAAACAGGGGTGGAGGCCTCCGGGTTCAACTGTCCCCCTCTTACAATGCTGTGATTGCTAGTATCACTCAGCCCTCTGTGAATAGTAAACAGCCATCAGTGTGCTAATGATCCATTGTTAGGCTGATGGTCCTTCTTGAGCATGTGATCAGCTGGTTTTGGTTGTCAGCAGCAAACTGGTTGATCCACTCTGAGAAGGTGCTATTTAAGACTGAGCTGAAAACAGCACCTCAGACTGAGGAAGTCTCTTGGATGAGAGACAAAACGTTTCTACATTTTTTTGCTTTGTTTTGTTTTTTGTTTTTTTGAATGTCCAGAGGACCAGATTGAACTTTTTTGGATTTTTCTACCTGGATTATTGAGCATGCATCAGGAAATATACAGAACAGCAGCACAAACATGAGTCTGTGTGAGTAGATGAGTACAAATGAACACAGTAGCATGAAATGATCAGCAGCATGGATAATTAGTAGCACATGAACAAAGTGGCATTACAGTGATTTTTCACAGTGAATATTCTGGTTAGGGATTCATGAGTCAGGGTAGAAGCTGTTCCTCAGTGTAGTGGTTCTACACTTAATGCTCCTCAACCTCCTTCCTGAGGGGAGCGGGGCAAAAAGTGTGTGTGCTGGGTGAGTGGGGTCCTTCATGATGCAGGGGGCCCTCTTCCTGCATCTGGAGGTGTAGATGTCTGTGATGGTGGGGAGGCTGACTCCAACATCTTCTGTGCAGCCTTCACCACTCTCTGCAAAGCTTTTCTTTCTGCAGCTGTGCAGCCTCCATGCCACATGTTGATGCTGGAGCACAGGATGCTCTCCACTGCACACCTGTAGAAGGAGGTGAGGACTGAGCTTCCCAGACCAGCTCGTCTCAGCCGTCTGAGGAAGTAGTCTCTGATGAGCTTTCTTGATCAGGCTGGTGGTGTTGTTGCTCCAGCTGAGGTTGTTGTTCACGTGTACACCCAAGTACTTGTAGCTGGAGACCACTTCCACTGCAGATCCTCCTATGTTGTTGGGGGCAGGGGGGGTGGGGGGTGTAGGTGTGTTTGTTACATCTGAAGTCCACAACCATCTCCTTTGTCATCCTCACATTATTGTTAAGTTTGTTCTTCCTGCACCAGCTCTCCAGGTGTTCCACCTCCTGCCTGTAGCTTGACTCATCACTGTTTGTGATACATCCCACCACCGCTGTATCATCTGCAAACTTTACAATGTGACAGCCTGGATGGGTAGCTGCACAGTCATAGGTGAGCAGAGTGAACAGGAGTGGGCTCAGCACACAGCCCTGAGGCGAGCCAGTGCTGAGGGTTATGGTGGAGGAGGATAAGTTTTGGATCCTCACAGACTGTGGTCTGTTTGTTAAGACGTCTAGTACCCAGTTGCAAATTGAAGGTGAATAGTTTGTCCATCAGGGTTTGGAGGATCATGGTGTTGAAGGCAGACGTGAAGTCCACAAAGATCAAACAGACATATGCAGGAGTCCTTCTGCTCCAGGTGGGTGAGAGCAGTGTGGACCACAGAGGAAATGGCATCTTCTGTTGATCTATTCTTGTGGTATGCGTACTGGTGAGGGTCCTTGCTGATGCTGATGGTTGTTTTGATGTGCAACCCATAGTAAAATAATATAATTTCTTAGAGGATGTTGTTGAAATTGTTGTTAGGTATAAATAAATTAATGTCATCATCACTAAACATCCTTTTAACTAATGGGATAAAAAAGTGTCCTAAGTTTAAATGTAGAATTTTGTATTTATTGTGGATTGAATGACTGCCATCTCCTTTGTGTCTTCATCTGACATGCAGGCCCTAGTCATGTTGTCATATTTATACATTCCTGCTTGGGCATTAATTTGGTTTAGTAGATTTCTTATAATTGGGTCCGAGACATCCACTCCAGATTCCACCCACTTTATTCTCATTTGTTTTAGTGGACATTTTCTGTTTTCAAGACCATCTGCTTTAAGGTTTAACTGAAGACTAATCAGCCCCGTAATGGACTGGAGACCTGTCCAGGTGTCCCTGTGATGGAATGGAGACCTGTCCAG